CAAACAGTTCAAGTACCAAACATACAATATATGTACCAGAATGTTCCCTAACTGTTCACAATGGCTCTGACAATGGATGGAGAACTGCGTCGCCAATGATCAAACGCCGATTTTTCATAACTTTCTTTCCAATTCAATACACTATACGTGTTTTTGGACAAATCCCCTTGTGTGAATATTCTCACTTAAATTTTTCGGAGATACAGAAGCTTAGTTATACCTCGAGAACTTTTTCCGATGGATACATTAACCATTTCGCTTTTCAAGGATGCAGGAGTGATGTGAGATCGCGGACTCTGCAACATTAAAAAGATAGTTTTTGACTTTCACTGTAATCGCTAACTCAACTCTGCAACGTTACAAGTTTTTGACTGTCACTGTAAGAGGTCCTCCTAGGTTTCGAACCATAAATAGTTTCACCGCTTTATTCACCAAAATGGTAATGGTGCAAGTGGCAAGCTCACATCATCGACGTCCTGAGAACAAGGAATGTAGAGACTTCGTGACAGACCATTTCTGGAAGGGCTACCCGTCTTGGCGATGTTGTACGACGACTGAGAAATATTTCTCGGAGGCAAGCGGGAAGCAGTTTTCTGCAGGGCTAGAAGAATTTTGAAAATGACATCGAACTGAGCTCAGTAATGTTCTGGAAATAAAGAGCTTTGTGGCAGAGCTTTTGTGTATGAACGGGTAGAAGAAATTAAGGGTGACACCAGCAATTTAGTTCATTGCACCACAGTTAAACAGATTAGGTCCTCAATGTTTTTGGCTGTTAAAACGGCGTTTTTAAAGAGAAGAACGTTTCGCTTTGGCGCTACTTTAGCATGATTGAAAGAGAGTTGGTCTACGCAATGAAACCCCTTAGAAGGACCGATGCACAAGAAAGTAATTTGGCTTCCAGACTAACGCTGCGACCAAGAAGGGGCGCAAGGACTCAACGGACCTAGGTAAGTTTCATACAAATTCGAGTCCTGAATTGTTCCCACAGTAAGTAGCAACACTCGCTGCCACACTGTAAAAGTAGTACAATTGGAGTGGAATATAATTTACCCCTTGCAGAGTTTGTACCGGCGAATCCACTATTTGTAGCTGACGACGATATTTCGAGCTTGGCCATCCGCCGCAACAGATCTGCCGATGTGGTTTGCAGAAGCATCTAGAACATTTCCACTTACAATCGACCCGGTATCCATCGCGCCATTCTTGCATACATCAATTTGTTGAAAAAACATCCATTAAGAAATGAGACCTACATGGAGTCCTTACATACGCTCTAATGACTACGGTGCTGCTCGAAATTCCTACAGCGAAGTTGAACACGTTCGAGGCGGAGTGTACGCCCGGGAGTACACGCGGAAACCCTTCTTTTCAGTCATTCGTACAGTATTGCGGAAACACGCGCATATTTTTTTTGTTCATTCGCGACTGATTATATTCCACTAGCACACATTTACACAATTAACACTCATTACGAAGAAAAAATTGTAAAAAAAAATATGCCCAAAACAACTCTGGGTGATGGTCTTCGCCTCGAATGTGTTAACCCGTTCACATCTAGATTGAAGTGAGGAAGATCAAAGCCGGAAAAACTTGGAAATTTGTTATAAGAAATTCGTCAAAAAGGTGAGCGAGTCAAAATGTTGCTGTTCATGCGACATTTAGAAGCTTCGACAATTGATTTGCTGTTGGCAACATAGACCTACAGCCTTGTTTCTTGCGTATACTGATCGTGAAGGATGTCCGGGAAGAGGGGTTTTGGCGCGGCGTCAACCCCTTTCCCATCAAATGCTGAAGGAAGCAAGCGACATGAGTGTTAAAAACGGTTGGCGCCGCGACGGTTGGCCCAACCTCCCGGCCCGCCCCAGCATCTGCAGCGAACAAGGATGTGGCGCTGTTCGGCGACGGGGTGGGGGGGGGAGGGGCATTTTGCACTTTCGCTACTTCCCATCGACGTGTCGACCCATCTAGACAGCCTCTTCTCGAGTTGACAGGTTTTACCATGATGGCTTGACGAGCTTGAGCAGCTTCACAAGAGTTCACAGGTTTCACCAGAGTGAGACTTGTAAACCGGAACTAGTGAAGCAACGAAAGTGCAAAATGCCCCTTCCCCCTCCCCCCGTTGCCGAACTGCGCCCAAGGCTGTATTCTCAACTTGAACACTGTTTTCAGGGGACCCCGCAACAAAGCGAAACTAACGCTGTGAGGAGGAGAATAGGGTCGGGTCGGGATACGTGAAAAATAAAACAGAAAAAAAGAGAAGAGAAAAGCGCTATAAAACAGTTTCGCATTTTGAAAAACTCACGAGCTCACTCTGTTGCCTGTCTACCGTCTTCTCCAGCTCCGTCACTCGAGCTCTCAACGATTCGTTTTCTGCGCGAAGGAAGTCGTCTGAAATGAAGGACTTCAGCTAGAGCTTTTCTACAGTCAAATTATTCTCTATTATTGTATTAACAATAGCCTGTTAATAGCCTCAAGAGCCTTTGCACTGACTGAAAGCTCCCTCGATGGTGTGCCTCTCTCCTTTGCAACACTGGAATGGGGTGCACCAATGAGGGAAGCACGATGGTTCTCGGTCTCCGCCCCGTATCGCAGACTGTAGCTTCAGGACACCGTTGTGAGTAACTGTTTCCTTAACAACCATTCACAGGACGGTGACATTCTGAATAAGGATTGCGGGGCCTATATGGGCTTCTTCTATGGTTTCAAGTATCATGCGGTTAGACCACGTTATTCACGAGAACCGTCTGAGAATGACGATGTGTGGGAAGGGCAAGCCCGACGGCTAGGCTCGGTTCCGTGCTCTTTCGTTCCTTGTGAACTCGTAGTTTTTTCCACTGCGTTTTGGTACCCCACGAGCGTTCAGCGAAGATAAAGTGTGCTTTTGCGGAGCTCGGCCTTCACAGCATGCAACAAACCGGCCATTGAAATGGAAGGCACACCTATTAGTTCTTGCACTAATTGTTGATAGATTTGAAGCCCGTGATAGTGGGACAATTTTCCGGTAAGAATGTTGGCATACATGACACTAGATCCGATGGGATGGTCCGTCTTCTTTAAAGAGAGCGCCCGCGACCGTGGCAGGTTTTAGGGGTCAGATTTGTTAGAACAAGTGGCAAATGAAGCATTAATCAAAAAAGTAGGAAAAAGGTGCGCAAGAACATGAAATAAGACCCTATTAAATTTAAGGCATCTGGACGAGTTTCGCAGATTTTGGGTGAGTTCTCCAAAACACGTCGCCGCCTCGTTGCGGCTAATTCTCATGAGGCCCCTACTACCTAGGTTATCTTATCTAATCTAATTAATCCACGCTGGCATTGATAATCGATCTGTGAGTTAATCTGTCTATCAGTGTACGAAACGAACGCTAGAAATTTAGCGATTATCAAAGCCAGCAAGGATTGACAACTGTTAACCAGTCGGGGCGGGATTAACAGGACAGGCGGTCAGCTTAGCATTGTTGACTCCGCCTTCGTCAATCAATCGATTTCGAGCCGCAAGAGTGGGATATCCGCTGTGGTTGCGGACTCCGCGATCTTGTACAGTGCAGGATTTTTCACCTTGGTTGATCGCGGACGCTGCCGATCGCGATCAGCCAAGGATGATGATCGCGGACGCCGCGGACGCTATCTAAGATATGTAGGAAAAACTGCAATCAAGAGAATCCGTCAGTTCTTTTTCGTAAGGACGCAGTGGCACCGTAAAGAAGAGTACAGGACTCTCCGAAACTCGGTTTCAGCTTTGTTTCTGTTTCGAAGGCAAAACCCGCGATCATTCGCCTATCACAGATAGTGGATTAGGGGTTCGCATATAGACGACAAGGTGCTGAGTAACTCGATAGTGAAGAAAAAAGCAGAAAACATGCCACTGCCTAGATAGAACCCATTTTGATCCCAGTTTGTACGTGCCCAATGAACTCCATCCAACATTACGCCCTCATCGCACAGCTGATTCCCCGATAAGAACTCTACGACCGTACAAGTGACGATTTTCATGCTTTTTCGTCCTGCAGCTTCGTTTTTCACTGAAAGGCGGGCCTTGAAGGCGGAGTCTGGAGGCGGAGTCACTGGAAAAAAGGAGGCCACTGAACCTATATTGCGCTATAGCGCCCCTCCCTTACAATTTTTTGCCGCGAAACCGGTACAAGGGTTGTTCGCCGCGGACCACACTACCCTCACGATGCCATATTTTCAACTTCTATACCTGATCGCGGACCGAGCCTTTAAGGAAGTCAAGAAAACAACTAGTAAAGCTTGTTCATGGAAGAGTGGTAAATGTGGATTTGAAACGCAAAATGAGAGAAAAAAACATCGTCGAGAAAATTCATCATAGACCAGTATTAGTTTATTTGCTTCATATAAGCTACCATTGTTTGGATCCCCTTCTTGAATAGGAGTGCTTTTGTGAGAGCGGTCACCCGGTCTGGAACAGTTGCTTGGCGCTAGATTACCAGCAAACTCATAGCTTTGGGGCAGAGGCACACCCTCCGACTTTCCGTGCCGTTATTGAGATCACTGAAAGTCACACCCTCCAAATCAATGCTTATATCAATGAAATGGAAAAAACAATGTTGAAACAGTATCAAAGGACCCAATGGAAAGTTACCTAGAGTTTCCTCCCATATTGGTTCAAATGGATTGAAACGCATCTTCATATGGTTCGACGAAGCGACAGGGCAGGGGATTGTTTCTACGAATGTCAGAAGATGTGCTTATTTTAGATATGGTAGCCGGAACACCATGTGATGCTGCGGGCTAAAAGCACAACATGCTATTGACGATTGCATTGCTTTTTTTTGCCAACCAACCCGCTTGAACTTTCAGGAGATAAAAGCCGCTTATAGCTTTCCTCCGAAAGCTGACATTTAGTTGTCCACAAAATTCAGGAGCGATCCTGTCCAAATTCTGGGAGAGAATTCAAATATCGTTAAGATTTGCGGTCCTACACTGCGTTTTGCCCCTCCAGTAATTGCCGACACCTATAATTAGTCCACTTGGTTCACACATTCCAGAATCTGTCGAAAAAACACCGCATCCGCTGTTCAGCATAGCATAATTCAGGAGCCGGCGCGGGTGTCGAAAGATTCCAAGATAACTTGGTGCTTTCCAAAAAGTTAAAGGCGGAGTCGTACGGGTCGCATGTCTCTTGATAAGTTAGGTCATAGTCAACCTACAAGCGGTATCTCACTGTGGGAGCGGCCAACACGTCTAATAAACTTTACCTCTACTCAACTGCATGTCAGGTCGGGGATGCTACTGGGCCAACTAACTTTTGACATGTGTGCATAATTCAGAAAAAAGTTAGATTTTTTCCTGGATTCTCTAGAAATAGGGTTCTACTCCACCGCCCTGAGTGAGGAACTTTCATAGGAGCAAACTGATAGCGTCCTCATTGTGCTATTATATTAAAGATTCCTCACGCAATACCTTAAGTACACATCAGGTACCACTCAGGGCCAACTATGAATTGTTGGGAGTTTCAGCCCAGTCACGTAACATCCCTTCCCCCTCCCCGATTTTACGATCGAGCGGGCATACTCAAAGAACCCTTGCTCTCGCGAAGCCAAAAAAAGACGACACGGACCCCGTTCCACATTCATCGGCGTCCAGAAACGAAGAAAAACTAACTATAGCGAAAAAAATTATTTTGAAGCCAAAATACGTCTTATAGTTGACAGTTTTAGTATATTTTTTCGATCTCAAAAGCTCCACTGTTGGCAAAGCCCCCAGCAATGAAGTGCCCTGATACCGTTCTTAATGGTCTCGGCGAGCGGCAAAAACACAACGTGGATAGATGTCCTGCAAGACTTGCTACGCTCTCCATTGCAAGCATTTTTGCTTTAAGCTTTCCGTGCATATTATTAAAGCTGGACTTCATATCATTGCTTATATCCGATAGACCAGTGTCGGAGCAGCTTGACTGAATCGGCATGGCGCAGCGGACTGGTTGCTGATGGCCGTGCTGTATAGAATCCATTTGGCAAGTCCATGTACGGTGTGTACATGCTAGCGAAAAATGTGGAAAAAATGGATCGGTAGAAATAAATCAATATTATCAAAAAGACGACGAGCACGATCCAAAGCATCACGAGGACATGTAAATGAATCATAAACCAAAGACGGGCGTGGGTTCATAAAAGGATTTATGAGGAATTTTGTTTGGAGACCGCAGTTTTGACCCTATCGATTGGCAAAAGATACGCGAATATGGGAAAAGAACTTTCTTGAATGTCTTTTGGCACTTAACGGTAATATCGGAGAGAGAAGAGGGGTTGAGGACGAGTCGAAGGCAACTGAGGGCATTGTTTATGCTATTGACGTACTAGCACCATGTAACAAGCACCACCATATGTCGCACGAACGGCTGGATGTGGTTAATCGGCCCCATCGCCATTATGGCTTTGAAGTTTCGCTTAACTAAACTTGGTTATTGAAGTCTTTGTCCGATCAAGAGAAAGTGATAAGTGGTCAGCCTTTGCTGGACCTGCTTCTCCTTGTACTAGGCGAAGTTAAGAGAGGTGTACCTCCATAGACGTAGTCCATTCCAGCACTCTTTGTATTCTATCTTTGCAAGGATTTCAGTCTAAGAATTACCTCTGCTACCCTCCCCCCTCTCAATCCTCTCAGGACATTCAGCGCGATTCTGTGTACATATAGCAGAAGAATTTGCCGCACAATACATGGAACAACCATTGCGTAGCTTATGAGAGAGGAAACCGAGCAAGCATCAACATGCGAGCAGTATGAAAATGTGAATTGAGAGGCTCTATAAAGTGATTGGAACACAGATAGTTTCAGCTCTGATTATGTAAGGGTGCAACCACGTGTCGCCGCATTTGTGTAATCAGGCCCAGAATGCGATGTCAAAAACCATTCAAAAGGGCTTTCGTGAATGTCGGCACGAGAAGTATTCAGGTGGAAACATCGAAAGAAAGGCGACGAAATGCATGGAATGTAGTTCCTTAAGATTATGTTGGACGAGTCTCCATAAATAAAGTCTTAGGTTTATCAAAGAGATATCCCAATGGTGACGTGAGCCTAACTCCTCATCCTTGAGACGGAGTAGGCGTCGC